CATGGTGAAATCTCACAGTTATGGAATACCTAGACACTTACTTGCGTAATCTGGAGTTCGGGTGAAACTTTCAGTCACTGAACAATTTGCTACACAACTAGGCTCCGCATAATAGACGTCGTAATATCCTTTGGTGTTCCAGTCCACAACAGTTCCCACCAGTCGATCGCGAGTGCGCGTGCTGTAAGAACATATCATGTGAATGAAACTGTAAATGGCGGTACGAAAATTTGGTACAGCGTACAAATTTTTTTAATTTTCTTTCTTTTATCTAATTCCGTGAAATATTTAATACCACAGACAAAGTATATTATCCCTAAATTTTCTTCTTGAGAAACATTTCGCTTCGACAAATACTTCCTTAATTAGAAGCAAAGAACAGAAACCAAAGCATACTTTTTTAAATGTTCCTTATTTCTTTCGAATTGTATGTAATGTTATAATTTTTGTCATATTTAAAGTTCGAAAATATAAAATATCATTGAAATTAATTCACCCTTTCTCGAGTGATGATCTGGAAGAGAAAAGCATATGGCAAAGACAGTAGAAGCAACTCAGAAAAGTTGCCCTGCGAGATCGACAGACAGTCATTGACTACCAAGTGCAGACACGACAGATAGGAAGAGATATCTCAGATTGTTCTGAGTATAGAATAGTCTGAAACTTCCATAGAAGTAAGAAGACTTGTTGTTGATGTCCTACCTTATTTCTGATTGCAATACCTGTATGAATATCTGTAACAGATACGAGTATGTGATTGTTACCTGTATTTATACACAAGTAGGGATTTTGGATACTTTTCCAGAAATTGAGTTCATAAGTTAAGCTTGCTCATTTCGTGACATGCCTTTTATCGAGGTATGAAAATTCGGTTTCGTGAGTTCATTCTTATTAGGAATGCGTTGAATAGTAAGATGTTTCTCCATAAACACCACGGAGAGAGAAAATTAAATCGACTGCTTGTTTTGACATTCTCCTGCAATGTCTTCATGGTTCATGGTACAAGACTACATTTGTGTTCGCAGTAAGAAGGACTCGTTCTGACCAAACGCCTTGCATTACAGTCAAACACGTGACTACCAGTTAAGTTAGAACTTCCATACATTGGAAGATATTAGGTGGAATGGATTCCTGTTGTAAGCTCACCTCTTGACATACACGTAGGTTGTTATTCTTGCGAACTGTTTAGTGATTGCATCATACGTGATCACCGGACAGTCCAGGTTGTCGTCATATTTATGGGGGATGTGGTACAGCCAATACCAAGTACCTGTAAACTATAAGGCAGAGAAATGAGAGGGACACCTTTTCAATTAATGAATTTTATTTTGTAAATTTCACGTTATTGACATTATGTGACTTTACAGAGTAACTTACATTAGTCCATTCTGTTTGGTTGAGATTCAATTTACCGATGTCACAGTCAGCAGAAACTACCGTCAACCTGGCGATTACACCAAGGAGGATGATAGGCA